AGGGCAATGCTCTGCTGTTATTCTTCAAGCATTTGATACACGTTTAAGTAATTTCTGCATGCTCTAACCTCTACTACACTCTGAATCATGTAAGTCAAACTTTCCATTATTCTCCAAACAGGTGTAGATAAGTTCAAACTGGCCTTATGTATCAATGGTAACCAAATTTAATTAAGAAATGGGGAGGGGAGTTACAAAGCATTTCCGGTTACTTATTCCACCCCTACACTCACACAAACAAACGCACACACTCACATGTGTGCACACACACAGTTTTGTCTATCCTCCACACTGAAGAAAGATTGCCATACTGGGACACATTCATTTCAGTTGTTCAGAAAAAAATGTATAATTGTGATTTTGAATAATAATAAATCACTCTACCCCTAAAGGCAGTATGAAAATACGAGTATGTGTCATGCTTATGTCCTTTTCAGTACTATACTCTATAATACAGGGTAGGTTTGTTTGTTTGATCTAAAAAGCAACTACACTTGGAAAGATGCTATTTACATACTTAATTGATATGTCAAACATCTGTTTCCAATATGAACTGGAAAAATTATTTCTGCCATAATCTTCGGGAAATTTGCATTTATAAGACTTTGTAATAAAACAGCTCTACATCTAACTTTATAATTTTTTTTATTTTAAAAAAGTCATACTTAAAATGTTAAAGATTTGGTCTTTTGATGGAAGCGGCTATATTTTCTGGTTTTGGCTTTGTATATTCTTGGAAATATTTTCTCACAGAATATTGTTTATATCTAAGGCATCTGTTTCATATTATTGCTTTAGAAACCTTAGTTATGAAAGATGCAATAAATAGAATAAAAGTAACCAAGAATAGTCATGTGGATCAAGACATGTCAATCAATCTAAATATGATCCTGATCATTATGATTTGTGTACAATATTTTCCATTTTCCATTCTTTTTTTTCTTGTCGTTTATTTTAATTCTATAAATTAAAATTATTTTAATAAATTTTGCAATTAAGTAAAGTAAAACCGTTGTCAGCCATATCTTTCCCTTATATTTCAGAGTATAAGACACACCTTTTTCCCCCCTAAAAGGGGGTGAAAATTTAGGTGCGTTTTATACACCGAATGTAGCCCCGCCCACCCACTGGCCCCCACCCTTTGGCCTCTGCCTCGCAGCAGTTACCTCCTTGCAAGCAAACAGCAAGGAGAAACAGCTCCTTTCAGCTTCAGCACAGCCTAATTAGCACAAGTTGATTGGATCAGTCTCCCGACTCTCAGCTGATTTGTCTCAGCTGTTTTGTGGGAGCCTTTGCTGCTTGCTGCAAGGAGGTAAATGCTGGAGCAGATCTGTTTTTTCCTTGTGCAAATCAAGCTATGCTGAAAACGAAAATGAAAGGAAAGCAGGCTGTTTGCTGCAAGGAGGCAAAATTGCTCAGAGGCAAAGGGAGATTTCTTTTTCTTCTTTTCCTCACCAAAAAAAGATGTGTCTTATACTCCGGTGCATCTTATACTCCGAAAAATACAGTATGTGCAGAGAGAGTCAGAGGTCTGGTACAGAGGTCAATATTTGTTTCTTTATTAGATTTAGATCCTACTTTTACTCCTGGAATTCAAAGCAATTTACATCAGTTTGTTCTTTCAATTTATCCCCACAAGAACAGGTGGGTGAAGAAATCCATACTCAGCCATGAAACTTTTCTTGGTTGGTGAGGCCTAGTCACCATCTCTTAACAGCCCCCATGTGACAGAATTATCGGTGGAGGGAATGGAAGAGAAAGCCTAGACACGCCATCTTAACATCTACATTTTAAAACAAGCCATAAAAAAGAGTGTGTCAATCTATATTATACAGAGAAGCATGGATGATAGAATAAATGAATTCCTATGTTTTATATACAGGCAGTCCTTGACTTAGGACCACAATTGGGACCAGAATTTCCACTGTTAAGCAAGGAGATTGTTAAATTGCATCTAGTTTTACAGTCTTTTTTTGCCATGGTTGTTAAGCTAATTGCTGTAGTTATTTTTTTTTTATTCATTTGATTTATATGCCGCCCTTCTCCGGAGACTCAGGGCGGCTTACAATGCATTAAGCAATAGCCTTGATACTTTTGTATATTTATACAAAGTCAGCTTATTGCCCCCACAATCTGGGTCCTCATTTCACCTACCTTAGAAAGGATGGAAGGCTGAGTCAACCTTGAGCCTGGTGAGATTTGAACTTGCAGTAATTGCAGGCAGCTTGATGTTAATAACAGTGCTTTAGTCTGCTGCGCCACCAGGGCTCTATTAAGTGAATTGTGCAATCATTAAACAAATCTGGCTTTCCCCATTGACTTTGTTTGTCCGAAGCCAGCTGGGAAGGTCTCAAATGGCAATCACATGACCCCAGATTCTGCAATCATGATAAACACTTGTGCCTGAATTTTGATCACATGACCATGGTGATGCTGTGACAGTCCTTGTGTTTGTAAGAACTGGTCGTAAGTCACTTTTTTCAGTACTATTGTAACTTCAAACTGTTGCTAAACTAATGGTTGTAAGCAGTGATGGGCTGCAAATTTTTTAACAACCAGTTCTCTGCCCTAATGACTGGCTGGGCAGGCGTGGCTGGGTGGGCATGGCTAGGTGGTCATGTGACTGGGTGGGTGTGGCCAACTAGACATCACGTACGTCGAGTGGCACCTCACCTCACCTCACCTCGCCTCACTTACCTAGCCTCCTGAGCTCTTCTGGTCTTTGTCTACTAATTTGTCTACTACTACAGTGTCTGGTTGATTATCTAATGCCTGCCTGTCTTTCTGGATCCAGAATTTCCAGATTCTTAGCTCTATTATTGCCCACAATCTTCTGTAGAAACTCCTTGATGGCTGGCTGGGAATTCTGAGAGTTAAAGTCCTTATATCTTCCAGCTGAGAGACATTGATCTAACCCTTGGGTTCTATCTAGTATGGTAAATCCCTGCTTCTGTAGATATGTTGCTTAGTGCCTGTTCTTGTGCTGTTAAGATCAGTGATCAGTGCTGCCTTTTACACACACACACACACACACACACACGCACACACACACACACACCAGAGCAGGAGTCTGCAACCTTAAACACTCAAAGACCCATTTGGACCCTTTTCCCACAGAAAAGAAAACACAGGGAGCCACAAAACCCTTGAAACATCTAAAATGAAGATAACACTGCATACATCATTTTTTACCCTTATGCTTGTAGTCTATTTAACTCAGTACTATTTATTCTGGGCCTTAGGTGGAAAAAGAGCTTTCCTATCACTTGCTGGAGATGTCATGGGTTAATCTGGGAATTTCTATGAGCAAATTCTAATTTACTGGAATTGCATCTTTGGCTTAATTGTAATTATATATTCAATTAAATTTGAAGCCTTTTATATAATTGTTTCTTCCACTTCAGGAATAATTATAAAAATGATGATTTCTCACTCATTTCTTTGCTAGTAGTAGAAACAAAATAAGCCGCCATAAATGTCACCCTAAATTGGAACCCTATATTTGGATTCTGATGGATATTGTTGTGAATGCTTTTGCAAAACAGTGGCTGGGAAGACTTGACACAGATAAGTTTACAAAGCACCTATTTCAAATAACATTTCTTGATTGTGTATTGTACCACTGTACTGTACCACTGTATTTTTCTTCCCCAGAAAAGGCCATATTTTGTTTAAAGAATTGCAGACAAATGTCCACCATAGCAATGCACAATCGTATGTTTATAATTTTTCTGCTTTTTCAAGACAGGTGGATGCACTTCTAAACAAAACGCTGGCTGCAGATAGCTCTCTTTTTCACATCGCAGGAAAGTTCAGAAATGGCTCAGTGAGTTAACAACTGACTGGCTGATTTTGGGCCAGTCATTCCCTCTCTCATCTTAGCCTACATCACAGGACTGTGGTGGGGAAAATAGGAGGAGATAGATGGATATTTGGAATGTTTGCTGCTTTGAATTATTTATAAAAATAATGATGAAATATAAATAAAGAAATACATGATTTTTCTGGAGGATGGTGTTTTGCTTTGTGGCAAGTCAGCTTCCCATTTTTTTAAAAAAAGTTTAAACATATTTTGAAGAATATATAAATACAGGTGGAGTAGATAAATTGCCAAGCAACTAGCAAGGCATGTACAGGCATACATTGGCCCTCTGGGTGGTACAAATGGGGACCGCAGGCCTCAGATATTTGGTAGAGCATATGGAGATCCAGTAATTAAATCACCATTCTCTGTCTTCTTTTTTAATACTGCAAATCCACACTTCTCAGAGGATCCTTTCCGCAAATTCAGAGAGCCTATCAAAATAGTCAACATGAACAGTTTGTAGGAAAAGTTATCACATGAGCTTATTTAAATAATTGGAAAATACAGTACAAAGTAATTGTGTGGAAACAGGATCCAATATTTTTATTTTCATAAAGCATTGTTGCCAAAAAATAGTTGTTTTCAATTCTAAGGTACTTCTAATGTACTGCCATTAAATACCTTTTGCTTTCAGTCACCAAAAGTGAATACTTCCAAAAGTTTCCAAGAGTTTAATTCCAACACTTAAAATCTATAGGGTCACTAGGAGTTGCCATATAATCCATTCGAACACTACAAATGTGCAGGGCTTTCTTCTCAAAAGTCCCTCATATTATTTTCTAATCTATTTAAAAAAAATTAACCTTCCCTTCCCCCACACCATTCCCTTTCCCACCCACCCCAGGGCCAAAACCCCCAAAAGTGACCACCCTACCTGCCAGGCTGTTGTAAGAGTTTGCCAGGCTGGTAGCCCCCGCAGAGGAGGCAGTTGAAGCGGCATCCTCAGAATCTTCCTGGGCCAGCAATAGCCCTTCAGCTCCAACAATGCCCTGTGATACTTGCCGATGGCTTCCTAGCACTTCTTCTCCTTGTAGCACTGAGCTTTTGAAATCCAGAACTCTTGGATCAGCTGCTTGGGCTCGGCAGCCAGCGAAGCAGCGGTGGATTTCAAAAGCCAAAGAGCTCTGCTACAAGGAGAAGTGCTGGGAAACCGTCAGCAAGAGACCTGGGAAGAGAGCATTCAGTTGGCATTCAGAGCCAAGCGGGAAATGGTGGGGGCCAGCGGCACACGTGGGCAAGCAAGAAATGGTGGGAAATGGGGCGGGCTAGCAGCTTGCCTTCCAGACAGTGCGGGAAAGCAGGAAACGGCAGGAAATGGCACAGGCACAACTTCGTGAGATTTTTTTCTTTGGCAAGAAGTTGGAATTGATAGATTGAACTTTTTTTTTAGCCCCACAAACTTTCGTTTCCCTGCACACGACGGCGAGAAACACAATGGAGCTGGAAATAAGGTAGGCAAAGAAATCCTTGGGGAATTTGGGGAAAGCAAGGGCATCTGGGGGGGGGAACTCTTCTGCCCACAAAAATCTCGTCTTTGCCAGATGACACCAAAAGGTAAAGCAAGAGCTGCCTGGAAGAAGCCAGTCAGCCCAAGAGTCAGGAATACCGTTTCTCTCAGGCTGGGCTGTGGGGATGGCGTGCGAGGCCGCAGGTAAGTCAGGCAAGCAGGCTGGGCCTCCAGAACAGCGTGGGAGGCCGCAGGGAAAGCAAGCAAGCAGGCTGGGCTGCCAGGATTGTGTGGGAGGCAGCTGGGCGAGAAGTGAAGGAAGACTCACCAGGCAGAGATCAGCAGGTCCACATGGTTGAGGCAAGCAAGGGAACCAGAGAGCAGCAGCAGCTATGCCTTAGGTGTGACTCTAGGCACCGGCCAAGGCAGGCAAGACGAGATAAGGAGTGACTAGGAGGGGTGGGGTAGATGGGGCAGGTGGGGTGGGAAGGGCCAACCAGTGGTGGCATTTGCCAGTTCGCCAAACTGCGCAGAATCTTAACAACCGGTACGCCCAAACCAGTGTGAACCAGCAGCAGCCCACCTCTGGTTGTAAGATAAAGATTACAAGTATTCTAACATTACAGTTACTAACATATGAATGATAGGTGTACTTTCAAAGAATTTACAATTATATCAGTGGCTTAGAAAACAAAAAGCAGGAAATGGGAAAAGTAGATTCTTTGAACGCAGAGCAGAGCAGAGCAGAGCAGAGTAGAGTAGAGTAAACAGAGTTGGAAGGTAACTTGGAGGTCTTCTAGTCCAACCTCCTGCTCAGGCAGGAAACCCTATACTGTATAAGTCTGGTTGCACATCACTGTCTAAATTTGCTCTCTCGCTCGCTCGCTCGCTCTCTCTTACACACACACACACACACACATCTATGTGTGTACTGTACATGAATCTATATTTCAGACAAGTATGTGGGTTGTGGGGAAGAGATTGATGTGAATTCTCAGATGTGGACATTTACCTGCAATTTGAAGAGCTGCAGCTGAGAATCTGGTTGTGTTTTTTACTCCCTAGCCTGGAAAAGACAAGTCACTAGCAAGAGCTAGGAAGTTATATGATTTAAAAAATGCATTTTAGGAATAAAAAAAAACTTCCATTCAAAGTAGACAAACATTAAAATGCCAGAGAACACCAGAATCCAGGCTCCACTATTCATGAACTGCTTTCCTTGCCCTGGATTGAAACTTAGAAGTCTGTGCCATTTTGCACTCTAGCAGTAAACTATAGAATAAAATAGCACTGACACTTTACCAGATTTGCAGACAATACATTACAGGTCCCTGGTGAATAACTTAACCAACAAAATCTCATTTCAGTAGGTTTAAACATTGGGTCAAAGCCAACAAAATAACATCCAGTAATGGTATGTGTAAAGTTTTACGTTTACATGGAAAAATCAAATTTTAAGTACAGAACTGAAGAAACTTGGCTTGGAGGTGATATGTGTCAAATGAATCCAAGGATTCAAATACCAACAGATATATATGACTAAGAAGTTTGATGCAACAACAAAATGATAATGCAATCTTGTAAACTGTGTTAACAGAAGTTTTATATCCAGAGCACAGGAGGAAGTAATTCCATTCAACTCTACATGACTGGGAGCTTTGGATCCAATTGATACTTCCAACTACGCTGGGAGTACTGAATCCATTTGGGTACCACACTTTAAGGGATCCAGAGATGGTGGAGCAATTTATATGCAGGGATACATAATGAGGGGCTTAGAAACCAAACTCTAGGAGCAATCCTTAAAATAGCTGGACGTGTTTAGCTTACAAAACAGAAGACTAAGGGGAGATATAACAGGGCTGACCAATATCTAAAAGGCCATCGCACACTAAAGGGGAATGACTGCTAAAAGTGAAAGCAGCATAAAAACCAGTGGATGATATTAAAAAAAGATTCAGGCTGAATATTAAGAGGAATTTCCTGATGATAAGAACTGTTAAGCACTGTGGAGGTCTTTCATAATAGAGATTTTCAAATGGGAGTTGGATGTTTTTTCTGCATTGGTGACCGGTTGTTATTGTAACTGGTACAAAGGGATTACTTTCTGTCAAGGCAGGGTCAATCTGCTACCACTTCTTGGAGGCCCTTGCTTGGTGGGAAAAGGAGGTGAATTCTAGCTGACCAACTTCAAGCTGAAGGACAAAGGCTCACCTGTTAAGTTGGCCTGTAATATAAATTTCTATGGCTCAACCAGCGAAGCTCTCTTCATATTCAAGTCCTGGCTATAGACCGACCATTAAAATATCCGAACAAAGAGAAGACAATGAAAGAGGATAAAGGAAGTGTGATTTTTTTTTTCATAACATATTGTACATCCAAGTAACAAAAAAAGGGGGGGGGAACAATTTGTTGGATCCAGGGAAGCAGGATTTTTTGCCATGGCACCTGCATTACAAAACATTTTTCCCTCAGACATTAGTTCAGCTCCATCCCTTTTGATGTATTGGAAGTCCCTCAAAATCTGGTTGTGCCATGAGGCCTGGGGGCCCAGAGAACCAGAGTCTTATTTAGATGGTGCCACTATTGAGAATGTATGTACTCATTTTCTTTATGGGGTTTGTATATATATCTTTATTTCTAATTAATGTTGATTAATTAATGTTGATTTTTGTATTTATATTTTTAATATATGCATCATATATGCATTTTATTGATTATTTTACCGCCACCCAGAGTCACTTTTCATGAGATGGATGGCTATATAAATTTGACTAATAAAATAATAAATTTAAAAAAAAAACACAATGCAGAGCAATGCTCAATATGTATTCCCCAAACCTATATAGACTTCTGTTGATTTTTTTTTTTGCAGTTTTTTGGGTTTTTTACCACAATTAACTCCAAAATATTGCTAAGCAAAACAGTTGTTAAGCGAGCTTTGCCTCATTTTACAACATTTCTTCCCACAATTGTTAAGTGAAGCCCTGCAGTTGTTAAGTTAGTAACATGGTTTGTAAGTGAATCTGGCTTCCCTATGCTTGTCAGAAAGTTGCAAAAGATGATCACATGACAGTGTGAAAATGGTCATAAGTCACTTTTTTCAGCAACTTTGAATGGGCACTAAATGAATGGTTGTAAGTCAAGGACTACCTTTATAGTAAAAATAACTCTGGGAAGCTTATAAACCGATCAAAGTACTGGTAATATATACAATGATGAACAAAAGAACAACAAACCTCAAATAGAAAAACCTGGTGTGGCAACTATACCTCTACAGCAATTCACTACAGCCAACTCACTGGAACCAATTCACCATGGGACAACTTGCCACGGCCAGCTCTCTGTGGGACAGCTCACCTCAGGACAAGAGTTACACTAATATCGAAGAAACAATCCAATAGACTCATTAAAGAAAGGATGCAAAGGAGGGACAAAATAAAATGTGAATGACAAAAATTAAAATAATTTTTAACTTATTTTAAATAATTAAAATGAATTGTTGAATTGTCCCGCAGTGAATTGTCCTGTGGCGAGTTGAGGCCATAGCAAATTGGCCATGGTGAGTTGGCCATAGCAAATTGGCCACGGTGAGTTGGCTGCGGCAAGTTGTCCCATTCCGTTCTCTGATGCACTTACATTCATTATCCTGATGCACAGGATAATAGGAAGGGAGGAGGTGAGAATGTGAGTTCTCAAGGGGACAGTGTTCCATAGGGTAGGAGCTGCAGTGAAAAGGGCACACTCCAAGGACCCACAAAATGGCAATATTTAAAGGAAAGGACCTGCAGCTTTATTATCAAAAGTTACTCTCATAGTGAAACTGACTTTTGCCTGCTCTGCCTGCTTACAAAAGCATTTTATTGGTATTCCTTAGCAATGGCAAGACCATATCTTGCAGCAGTCTTCTTTTTTTTTCTTTTTTCTTTTTTGAATTTCATCTTACACCCTAGTTGCAAAGTAATTAACTCCACAGCAAGTTGCCATTCGGCAAAGCAATACTATACATAGAATGACGTATTCATTAATATTTGACTATGAAAACTGTAGTTAAACTATATTCACCGAATTCAAACACGAATGGCTGTAACCATACAGAGGGTAAATCTTTGTATAAAGTTAGAAAGAGAAAGAAAAAGAGAATTATTTAAGAGCCTCAAATTTTAGATTTATGAAGAATTGCTGAAGTTAAATTCTAAAAAATATGCTAAAGAGGAAGAGTAGCCGTGGTGGGATTCAGCCACTTCGCACCAGTTCGGGAGAACCGGTTGTTAAACTTCTGAGCAGTTTGGTGAACTGGTTGTTGGAAGAAATCATTAGGGCAGAGAACCGGTTGTTAAATTATTTGAATCCCACCACTGAAGAGTACGCAAAATAAAGTGAAACCTAAAACCAGTGTCACCTGCTTTTTTCTTACAGATCACTGAATATTTCTAAAGAAAAGGTTATCAACACAATATTCCCATATGGCCATATGCCATTGGCCCCAAAATAAAACTATGCTGTTATTCATCATTTACATCATAAATTAAAAACACCCCAACTGCCATTCAAAGTCAAACAACTAACTTTGTAATATCTAGGCCCTTCTCATTGCTATTCGTTCTCATCACCATTGTTCTCCTTTCTGATGACAGCAATGTGATCAGAGTTCAGATCACAGTAGTAGTAGTAGTAGTGGTGGTAGTATTTTGCTGCACATTAGAGTCCCTCTTTCACATCAGTGAACCCTTAAAATGTTGTCAGTTTTTAAAGTCTTCATGTGCAAAAAAATATGCGAAATGTGAAATATCGTACTTTTTGCAATGTGCACAAATATGTATATAATACATTAGAGAAATAAATTACAGGAAAAAATTCCCTTCCATCATTAGTCACCCAAAGTTAGCCAGCCAGCTTTCATGCCTAAGACTAGAATTCACAGTCTCCTATTTTCTGGCCTGATGCTTTAAACAGTAGACCAAACTGGCTTCTCAAATCAGAGAAGATAAATGAAAATCAATAAAATATCTACAAGAAACTAACATTAAATGAAGGCGGTGCCAATAAGGATGAATTTAAATGAAAGACATTTTAAACATAAAAATAACATTGAAAACTGAACTGAGATTTTCCTCATTAAACAACTTTAATCAAACTCAACTGCTAAATTAGCATATCTAAACTAAACTATCAAGTACGGTAGATTACAGTCCTGCTAAATCTTAATATTAAAATCTTTGGAGCAGTCTACTCTGCATTCTAGAAGAAATAAAAAATGAAGACTCTAGTAAGTGGTTCTTTTCCTGCTCTTCACCACTAGCATATAGCATTAATGGCCCGTTATTTTCTCCAACTGATGAATTAAATCATTCCATTTTAAATAACGATAAGACAAGTAGAAAAAATTTGCAACCAGGTGTGGATTGCTCTTTAAAGTCTTGAATCTTGAACGTTTCCATTCATGAGATGATTCTCAAAGCAGAAGCCATTTTTGGAAATTCTTTTATTTACTCCATATCCCATCTCCTAAAATCTGTACTCTAGTGGTTGGGATATCCTACAAGACACCATGAGATACTAACATATTAAATGCCTTTCAGTGTTAGCTTCCATTTTTAAAACATGGATATTTAAGAATAAATACTAGGCAAGCTTCCCAATTTATCTCAAAATTAGAACTCTGTGAAGAGTATTTCTGTCTTGCTATTTTTACTGATCCATCAAACTCAAATGTAAGATCATTACATGAATATTTGTGAGTTGATAAATAGGGAACCCAGGGTTTCTTTGCCATATTGATTGTACAGTTTTAATATGTTTTCTTTTCTCCAGCAATTTTACATCAAATAGTAAAACTATGAACTAGGCTACTTCTACATTTGATTGATTGAATGACTGATTTTTATCCTGCTTTTATTTTGGGTCAACTCAAGTTGATGTAGGTACATTGTGTTTTGGTTTTTGTTAAACCTTTATCCCACATGAGCATTTGCACTGCTCCCACATTGGTAATAGAGCTCTGTGATCCTACATGGCTTGCCTGCTCACTTGCTCTGCCTTTAGCAGTTCAGCTAATTTACGTCCAACTCAGAGTAATAGAAGAGCAACTGACTGAAAGCCAGTGTTCAACTGAAAACATGGAGGCTGAACAGAACAGAACAGAATAACAGTGTTGGAAGGGACCTTAGAGATCTTCTAGTCCTGCTGAAGCAGGAGATCTTATACTATTTCAGACAAATGGTAGTCCAATCACTTCTTAAAACCAAAGAGTGATGGAGCATCCACAACTTCCACAAGAAGGGGGAGGGCCTTCTCTGTGGGGGCACCTACCCTCTGGAATCAATTGCCTCCAGAGATAAGGAGAATCCAAGACCTCGGTGCCTTCCGCCGTGCCCTTAAAACCTTCCTTTTCCAGCAAGCCGGGCTGGCCTAATTTTTTTTTAAGTGTTTTTAACTGTTTTGTTTATTGTTTTTAATTAATGGGGCCAAATTTATATATGTATATTTTAACTGTATTTTAATATTTGTATTTGATGTTTTTACTTGGCTGTTCACCGCCCTGAGTCCTCAGGGAGAAGGGCGGTATACAAATTCAAAATAAAATAAAAATAAAAAAAATAAAACTGCATTCCACTAGTTTATTGTTCTCAGTATTAGGAAACTTCTCCTTAGTTCTAGGTTGCTTCTCTCCTTGATTAGTTTCCTTAGTTTCCATCCATTGTTCCTTGTCTTGCCTTCTGGTGCTTTGGAAAATAGGTTTTCCAAACCCCTTCTTGTTTGTGGCAGTCCTTCAAATATTGGAACGCTTGCTATCATGTCAACTCTAGACCTTCTTTTCACTAGACCAGACATATCTAATTCCTGCAACCGTTTTTGTAAGCTTTAGCTCCAGCCCACTCTTTTCTGCACTCTTTCCAGAGTCTCTACATCTTTTTTATAATATGGTGACCAAATTGGATGCAGTATTCTAAGTGTGGCCTTATTAAGGCTTTGTAAAGCAGCATTAACACGTCACGTGATCTTGATTCTATCCTTTTGTTAATGCAATCTAGGATTGATTGACTTTTTTAGCTGCTGTTGCACACTACTGACTGGGGACATGCCATGTTGCCCTTGAATTTCTTGGCTCAGGCATCTTCCTGGCTCCTGAGTATCAATTGCCCTAGTAGGTCCTGCTGGGAAAACAAACCTGAAGAACTCTATTGAGTAGCTTCCCTTTTAAAAAAGCAAGGAGTAGGCCCTCTAATTTCTTCTCCTCTTTCACAAGGAATGTTGGTTGCTGTTTTATTAATTTCCCTGTTAAGAAATTGGATTATTTCTTGTTCTGCTTCTGAGTCCCTGAAAGTGAAGGCTGCTTTGTAGATTGCTTTCAAACTGCTTTTGAGGGCTGAAAGACTCAAAATCCAATAGTGTGGAAGTGCTTATTTCATTTTTCTTTCTTTCTCATAATCTCAAGGGTTGGCCTGAAATAAAAGAGGCGCTTCTAAGCAAGCTGTGCTGCTGCTTAGCCCTCTGTTCTTCATCCACTCCACTTTTAAATCAAAGTAACACGCAATAGATATACATTATTCTAATGAAAAACAGAAAAAATCTATTAATCCTCAAACAAATCCAAATAAGTTTCTCCACTTTACTGCAAAACGTGGCAGACGGAACACATAGATAGACACAGTTTTAATTGACAAAACTGATACTGCCTCTTTGACAGGGAAAGCGTAAATATCCATTTCAGCTGTACAAAGCATTTTCACATAACACTGGAGCTGAGTAGATACCTACGTAGCTAGTTAGCTTTCCAGCTTTAAATATTAATGCCTACTTTCATTTCCACTGCAGTCCTGTGGGGGGAAAGACTATAAATAAACAAAACAATCACAGATCAGGAGAAAATAGTATTTGATTTTAATAAGGGAGTGCTATTATTTTAAACTGGAAAAAATATAATCTCTGCCATCTTTAATACCGGTAGAGTGTGAGAACCCATACCATTCTGAAGCACAGGGTGGCCAATTATCCTTCATGCCACTTTTACACCCTGCAGCTATGTTACAAACTGGGCTATGACAACTCCACAATTAAGGCAAAAGGCGACCTTCCTGGGGGGTTATGTTTCTGGATCAACCCATTCTGCAAAATGGGATCCTTTAAAATGAGGGCATCTTCAGAAGGTGATGCTCAATTTCTCCATCCAGGGAGAAATTGGAGCATTCAGTGGCATAGAGAATTCTCTCTCTCCCTCCCTTCCTCTCCCTCTCTCCCTCTATATCTATCTATCTATCTATCTATCTATCTATCTATCTATCTATCTATCTCTACTCTCTAGATTCTCCTGCTCGAGCAGGGAGTTGGACTAGATGACTCCAAGAGCCCTTCCAACTCTCTTATTCTATCCTCTATGTTCTATCTATCAAACTTCTGAATAGCCCATTTCTCTTGTAGAGGGGCTCTTGCAAGCTGCCTTAGTAGCCAAAATCCTGTGACCAGGAGGTCATTTTGCACCAATGGAGAAGAACAGAATATACCGTTGAAAACAAACAGACAGGAATGTAGATCCCTAAAATTTATTAGCAGTTTAAAAACATGGATGCCTTTAGGGATTCGCTATTGCTTCTGACAAGCACCGCTTTTCGCCTGCTCAGTGTTAAAACTTTTTCCAACCCTTATAAGGGGCTTCTCCATTTCTTTTCTTATGTTCACCCACTTTTCTCTCCCTCTTTTCTTCCTTTCCTAGGGCAGCTATCCCTTCCCTTTACCATATCACCATCCTGGTTTTTTGTATTCTACTTTTTTTGTAGTCTGATGGAAGGAGGGAGGGGACATATCTCTGTGTATTTTTGTTTGTGAGAGTAGTTTGTGTGTGGAGGGGGGAATGGGCAGTATATCAAATGGAGGATTAATTTATGTGATGAATATGGAATCTTATTTTACAGGCAATTAATTTTAATTAGAAGTTATTAATTTTCTTGTCTTGTCTTTGCAGTTTTTGGAATGTGGCGTCTGGCAAATATAATACACAAACCCAAAGATTAGAAAGAATTTTAACATGATGCTTTTTCTCCAAATCTGGAAATCAACAAAAGGTCTTCATCAATTCTACATGGCTACAAATTTGCATGCTCAGAAAATGCATAAGTAGATGTATTATATTTAGGGCAGTGATTCAAACGAGCATGAATCTACAGTTACTTAGTATTACATGAAGACTGACTTCTGAATATATTATATCTTTGAAAATACCCCAAAGCTTGAATGGAGTAAAAAAAAAAAATCACAGTGCTGTCTTTATAATAGAATTCATAAGAATTTCATACCTAACAGCAGTTTCCACCTCCTCAGGATGGCAGGGAGGGTGGGAGGTAATCTGTATAGACATTCTCAAATGGGACTTTTTTCTTTTTCAACACAAGGACATAATTTCTTAAAATGACTCTCCTGCTGTGCCTGTTTCATGAAGCATGACATACTTTGGGAAGCAAAAGACCTCTCCTTCCATTTTTATTATAGATGTACACAGAGCCACCCCATAATGTTATTTTCTTAGCAGGTTACCACAACAAAAAAGTGGGGAAAGAGAATTAAAAACAGAATAGCATAAAGCAAAAATCTGCAGGATAAAAAGGTTCAACAGGGAGAATATGGTACAAGTGTAAATATACAACATGGTCCAATCTACACATCAATATACATAACTTGGCTCTGCCAATTGGTCTGGGCCTCCAATGGAGATGTATCATACTGGAGGTGATTAATGGACTGGGATGAGACCCCACCTCCTCTCCGTGTGCATCTTGCTCCCTTCCTTGCTATATTATTTGTTAATTTTAAGCCAATTTTTGTGTTGATTTTTTAAATGTTAAAATATTTTTAAATGTTTTATCTTGTGGCTTTTATTGGTATAAAAACATATAAACATATTTTATTGGTGGCATGGTGGTTACAGTGCAGTATTGCAGGTTAATTCTGCCGATTATGAGCAGTTTGATTCTCACCGGTTCAAGGTTGCCGCAGCCTTCCATCCTTCCAAGGTCGGTAAAATGAGGGCCCAGATTGTTGGCAGCAATATCCTGATGCTGTAAACCGCTTAGAGAGAGCTGTAAAAGCACTGTGAAGCAGCATATAAATGCTATTGATATAAGCCACCTAGAGTCACTTCTAGGCAAGTTGGGTGGTATGTAAGTTTAATAATAATAAATAAATAAATATTTACACTTATATATAAATGCAGTTCTTGATATAATAATAATAATAATGTATTAAACTCGTATGTTGTCAAACTCCCAGTGACTCTGTGCAGCTCACAACGATTAAATAAAGAAATCAAAATGAAATCAATAAAAGATAAAACATGGAAAGTGTGATGAAGTGAGCAGTCTCATCAAAGGCCTGACTCAAGAGCCAGCCCTTTGTGGCTGCTCTAAACACTAGTACCCAGAACCGGGGGCGGGGGGAGGGGGCGACACGGAACACTTCATTCAAATGTCACTTCTGGAAAGGTTCTGAGAGTGACATTATTCAATCAAAGGACACACCAATCCTGCAAGATTAAATTAGTTGGGCTGATGTTATAAGAGATAGGTGGTCCTTCAGATAACCAGATCCTGTGCAGTGTAAAGCTCTATAGGTCGAATCACATATATTAGGTTTTAAAACATTTTTTTTTTAAATTAAAGAGTTCCCCCGATATAGAATCATAGTAAATAAGGTGTCCAAACACTCCTAAACTAGAGTGGGAAATCAAATTCCTCCAGAAGAAATCTATGGCAAACTTCTTTATTATTAAGGAAACAAAATGCTTGTGTCTGTCAATTATCAGATATTGGAATCCACTCAACAGTATCTAAGTTACTTGCTTATAAGCTTTTAATAGGCATCTGACTGATTTATAGTGGGGATCCAAAGGCAAGATTGCATACATTAGTCATCTAAGCTGACTTGAGTGCTCCTAGATTCAGCTAAAGTGACTAAAAAAAAAAAAGTCCAAGAGCTCCCAAGTTGTTACAAAGAGATTGGGAGCAATGAGGTGAAAGCAAAAAAAAAAAAAAAAGATTATCATCCCACAAAATAATGCAATATTGTCCAGAGAATAAGAGGCTGAATCACTCTCACTTGGTGTCTTAACAAGTACAGTTAACTTCAGAAGTTGCCTGCATATCAGAGGTAGGTTTCAGCAGGTTCTGACCAGTTCTGGAGAACCGGTAGAGGAAATTTTGAGTAGTTTGGAGAACCGGTAGTAAAAATTCTGACTGGCCCCGCCCCCTTCTATTCTCTGCCTCCCAAATCCCAGCTGATCGGGAAGAAATGGGGATTTTACAGTATCCTTCCTCTGGAGAGGGGTGGGAATGGAGATTTTACAGTATCCTTTCCCTGGAGTGGGGTGGGAATGGAGATTTTACAGTATCCTTTCCCTGCCATGCCCACCAAGCCACGCCCACCAAGCCATGCCATGCCCATCAAGCCACACCCACAGAACCAGTAGTAAAAAATTTTGAAACCCACCACTGCTGCATATCATGTGATCATTTTCACCAGAAGGCATGGGGTAGTTGTAATGGACGGGGAGTGGGGGGGAATGAACAAACAAACCCCAAGGTTGATATTTTGTAAATCTGAAAGTCATAATGCAAAGTTCTATCACTTTGTGCAAATCCCATCATTTCTAATATGGCCCAAACTATTGAAAAATCACTAATAAACCATCGGCCAGCAATCAAAATGGCCTTACCATGTGAGGAAATAAGTAAGATATCAGTGTTGACTGACTGACAGCTTTATAGGATTTACAATTTATTGCTGCCTTTGTCATATAATAATTCTAAGAGGTACATAACAATTCATAAAAAACCAGCATGACATGTTTGGGCATGGAACTAAACTAATATAACCATGAAAACTGCAATATTCCAAAAATTGCAGGATACAATAAAAGCAACCTCAAACTAAGGAAAAATTTCTTGACAGTTAGAATAATTAATCAATGGAACAAATTGCCTCCAGAAATGGTGGGTTCTCCTACACTGGAGATTTTAAAGAAGAGATTGGACAGCCATTTGTCCAGAATGATATAGAGTCTCGTGCTTGAGCAAGGGATTGGACTAGAAAACTTCCAAGTTCCCTTCCAACTTTCTGTTATTCTATATCCTGCCTTCATTGTTTTTACAAATAAAGTAATGAGTTATCCAACACACCTTGCTCCTCCTATTTTCCTCATAACTGCAACCCTATGAGGTTGGTTGGGCTGAGAGAGAATGACTGGTCCAAATTCACCCAGCTGGCTTTAATGGCTGTTTAAGTTTATTAGATTTCTATATCGCCCTTCTCCCGAAGGACTCAGGGTGGTGTACAGCCATATTAAAACACATAAATTTATAAAATTTAAAACCAAATTAAAATCAATATATAAAATTGGCCTGCAGATTTAAAACACACATACACCCCTAATAAAATTCATATTAGGCCAGTCCGGCTTGCTGGAACAGGAGGGTCTTAAGGGCGCGGCGAAAAGTACGCAGGTCAGGGCTAAGACGGAGCTCTAGGAGCAGCTCATTCCAGAGGGCTGGTGCCCCCACAGAGAAGGCTCTCCCCCTGGGTGTTGCCAGTCGACATTGTTTGGCTGACGGCACCCTGAGGAGCCCCTCTCTGTGGGAGCGTATTGGCCGGTGGGAGGTTGTTGATGGCAGAAGACGGTCTCGTATATACCCTGGTCCTAAGCCATGGAGCGCTTTAAAGGTGGTGACCAACACCTTGAATCGCACCCAGAAGACCATTGGAAGCCAGTGCAGCTCGCGCAGGAGGGGTGTTATGTGGGCGCGCCGATTCGCACCCATAACCACCCGCGTGGCCGCATTCTGCACCAGTTGGAGCCTCCGAGTGCTCTTCAAGGGGAGCCCCATGTAGAGAGCATTGCAGTAGTCCAGACGTGACGTGACGAGGGCATGAGTGACCATGCGCAGGGCATCCTGGTCCAGAAAGGGATGCAACTGGTGCATCTGGTGAACCCGATAGAAAGCTCCCCTGGCCACGTCCGTCATATGATCTTCCAAAGACAGCCGTGCATCCAGGAGAACACCCAAGTTGCGAGCCCTCTCTTTGGGGGCCAAGATCTCACCCACAATAGTCAGCGATGGAGCCAGCTGACTATACCGGGATGCCGGAAGCCACAGCCACTCGGTCTTGGAAGGGTTGAGCTTAAGCTTGTTTCTCCCCATCCAGATCTGCACGGCCTCCAGGCACTGGGACATCACATCAAGGGCATCATTGGGGTGATTCGGGGTGGAGATGTACAGCTGAGTATCATCAGCGTACTGATGGAACCTCACCCGAAACCACGGATGATCTCGCCCAGCGGCTTCACATAAATGTTGAACAAAAGGGGTGAGAGGACTGACCCTTGCGGCACCCCACATACAAGGCGCCTCGAGGTCAACCTCTGCCCCTCTGCCAACAGAAACTGCATACGGTCAGAGAGGAAGGAGGAGAACCACCGCAACACGGTGCCCCCCACTCCCAGCCCCTCCAATCATCACAGCATGATACCATGGTCGATGGTATCAAAAGCCGCTGAGAGATCTAATAGGACCAGGACAGAGGAGCAACCCCTGTCCTGAGCCCTCCAGAGATCATCAACCAAAGCGACCAATGCCGTTTCCATGCTGTGCCTGAGGCCCAACTGGAACGGATCTAGATAATCGGCTTCATCCAGGTACTGGGGAAGTTGTCGCGCCACCACACTCTCAACAACCTTCGCCACAAAGCGAAGGTTGGAGACAGGGCAATAATTGGCTAATACAGCTGGGTCCAGGGAAGGCTTCTTGAGGAGAGGCCTCACCACTGCCTCTTTCAAAGACAGCAGGACTAGAATAAATAAATACCCACAGATCATGCAGTAATGCCATTTTTTCCCCTCTAGCATACCAAGCAGGCTTAGGTCCTAATTTGATGCCTTCCAAATGTATTGGATTTCAGCTCTTAGAATCTTCTGCCCATAATGATGTTATTTTGGGATTCGGGGAATTAAAATCCAACCCCCGTGGAGAGCCTCAGATTGGGCAGAGCTGCAGTAGAAAAACAAGTGCTGTAAGAGCTGAAAAGAGGCTGAAAAAAGAAGCAGATGTTCAAAGCAGGCTGCCTGATGCCACAAGGAAAGAGGTTGATTCAAATGTGACCTTGTCACAAGAGTAACAATTTATGTAATGAAATGGAGAGTTAGGATTATTTCTTTATCAGCATGCTGCCTGAAATTCCTTTTTGGCTGATTTCTAACTGTTCATGCATGA